TTTTGAGTTGGAAAAAGAAAATTGAATAGTTTTATCAAATTTGTTAATTATCTCTATCTAAGATAGTGTTTTTGGTAGAGCACTATTATAAGGTCTCAAGTTTGAATATGTTTGGTATGCAAAAATTATATTTTGATTGTTTTATTTATCTTTATTTAAGATAGAGCTTTTGATAAAGTGCAAATAAAGGCTCATAATTTTTTTATCACTGTCTATGATAGCGGTTTTGGTAGAATGCTATTATAGGTCCAAACTATTTTTCTATTTAATTTTTCCCCCAACTTATATTAGCTTTTTACTAATAAGCATCATTAAATATATGTTATTATAGATCATATATGTAGATGTTAACATCATGTCACATGGATATGGGTGCATCGAATTAGTCTTATTTCCTCCATTAAAGTCAAAATCATATTTCTGATCATCGTCAAGGTATTGAAATTGAGCTCATATGTTATTACATGTTGGGAAAATTATGTTGCTATGACATATATTTTAGAGATTTTGCACAATACTGAAAAGAATAATATCCAACATAATGCATTGATTGTTGGCACATGCTTAAGGAGTGTATTAAGTCATTGTTGAAAAAATATGAGATAATTAGAGGTTTGTATTTATGATTGGTCCTCATTGTTGGCTATAAGTTTAATTGTGTTATTGAAAGTAAATGTTTTCCTTCTTGCATCAATACATGAAAGTGTTATTCACACACGTATATTGTTTGAAAGATTGCTAGACAGATATGTTGTGATATTCTCCTCTCATGTTTTCAGTGAACAATTCTTATTATCTCTAACCCGCTTCGTAGTTTCTTGTTGTTTCGTGTTCTCACTTGCATGTTCCTTGTCGTCTCATTTCTTCCTCTGGTTTGTTTTTCAATAAATTTGCATTTTTTTTGTATTGCATGCAGCGAAAGATCAATATCGATTGCAGAGAGAAACGATGAAAAAACAAGGAAAAATAAAAAATCGGGTTGCATGAAGGGTAGGCATGACACCCATCATGACCCAAGCAAAATAGGTTGTCATGACCTCTGAGTAGATAGGAGCTAACCAAATTTTAAAACCATGACGGATGGCCCATCATCATTCGTGACGCCTCTCATGGATCCAGTGCCCATAATTCCTACGCTTATGTCATGACGTCTTTTTCTAGAATTTTCTATGTTTTCTCCAACTGTTTTAGCCTATTTCTCCATAATTTTACACAATTTTTGGAGTATTTGGAGTGCAAAATTCACTATAAATAAAGTTGTAACTCATAGTAAAGGAATTCAAGCATATTTGCACTAAATTTACTTTAGATTTCAGCATTAGTTTTAAGCAAAAAATTAGTTATTTCTCAGCTTTCATGATTAGTTTCCTGTTGATATTTCAATTATATATTGTTGTATTCATGGATCAAAATCTCCCTTCGAAGCACATATAATTTCAAAAGCTATTACGGTTACTCACAAATTCAATTATTTACTATTTTTAATTATGAATATATTATATGCATGTTTTGTTTTTTTAATTATCATGTCTGAGTAATCTGCTTTAGAGTCTGAAATATAAGGGTTATTTTACCCCTTGAAATTTGTGTGAATCGATTAGATATCAATTATAACAAGTAATTAAAATGATGTTTTGTAATATCTGTTTTGAAAAGAAATTTCTTGCTACAAACATCGAGATAATGTTTATGCATCAAAAAGGCGGAAATGATATTCGACCTTGAAATTTAAATTTAAATTTATAGATTGTGAAAGCATTTCTAAATTAATCCATAAATTATTTTTATCTTGTAATAGAATTTTAAACTTTAAATTTATACTGCGAAAGCCAATATTTGTGAGTTTATGGTTCGGTGACGCGCCGACGTAAGTGGGTGTTACCACTAGTTTAGTATTTTTTTTATATCCAAAATATAATTTTCATGTTGTGATTTATATGAGTAAAATGGGGAGATAAGAATCATTGTTTTGATCTTTTATTTTAATATTGAATTAAATTTATTATTTTCCATTTTTTTTTGCACAAAAAACTAGTTTTTACGTAACCTTAGATACACATAGAATCAATAGATAAGAGAACTTGGTATTTAGTCTATGTGGATACAATAACTTTTTTTACTACATTGATATAGAGGTATACTTGTGGCATATCATTTAGTCAAATGCATCTCATCATCCTTTATATTTTGTGTTGATAATGTTTTGAAATTTTTATTTGAGTTTCAAATTGTTTATTTTACTCACTAAACATTTGCAATGTTAGACCAAAATATAAGTGTTTACTGGTGTTTTTAAAAAACAATCATGAGTTTTAATTTATTTGCAGAATTAAACTCGAAAAATCCTTAGGACACTTTGTGCTAAACGTTTGAGAAATTGTATGAGTGCTAAAAGGTTCTTAATGCAAAGATTCAAGAAAGTAAATGCAGAAGTATTCAAATGGATAAAACAAATAAAGAAAAGTGTAATAATAAAACAATTGAATACAAATGTTTATATTAAGAGTGACACGCAAGTTCATACATTTCTCATAAATTCTTTATTTTTGTGACTCAGATGTGTGAATTTTAAAGAAAGCAAAAGGAAATGCAAACCTTGTTTATATAATCGAAATCTACTTATATACTATGTACTTCAATAATGGTAAAAAATAGTTATCTCTCCTGCCTGAATTTGACACATCTCTTGCCACATGAGTTTTTCTCTTCTAGTGTATTTCCACATGTCTTTGGTTCTTGAACTGCTTCAAATTATTACTGTTGTCAAAAACGTCTCCAAGTTGCCTAATCATATATGTCGAAAACTCTGCTTGCTGAATTTGTAACCTAGTGTCGGAATCATAATAATATGTACTTAAGATTTACATAAACAACCATATCCCATATTCATGTCGAAAAATTGAAAATCTCAGGCTAACAGATGCCCCCCAAAAGTTACTTTCGATCATATTTGAAATATGGAAGAAAGATGACATTTTTTTAGTAAACTCACAAAATTATTAACCATTATGCATACGTCAACATCATCATGACTATTACTATCTAGCCGTTATGTCAGTAACGTTTGTGTACCTGCCTCATGGCTCTGATTTCTAAGGCCACAGTGGGCCAAGAAAATTAGTTGTATTAAATTAAAAATATCATTAATTAGTAATGATTTAAATAAAAAATTAAAACGTCAATGTTTTAATTTCAAAGGGAAAACCAAATAGTCTCATCCCAACAACTATAACTTCATCTCCTCTCCTTTCTTCCGTTTCACCACTTCACTCTTTTTGAACCCTAAGAACTTTAATCTTCTACAACCTCCATTCTCACCTTTTCTTCTTTTCAAATTCTAGAAAAAATGTCCTCTTATTATGCTATAGAGAAGCAACCCCAAATCCCTTCTGTTGTCGATATTCAGGGTCCCATCTGTTATCGAAATCACACATATGTTCAAAAACCACCAGTGAAGAAGGAAAAAAAATCACCATGTAGGCTTCCAAGGTAATAATCCATTCTCTATTAGATGTAGTGTTCATGCTGTTATACCCCAATTCCCCCCCCCCCCCCTAAGATCCCTCATCACACTCTGTACACCTCATACATAGCGTCGGCCCCATGGTTACAGGATAAAAGAGTTTGGCATTAGGGTTGTTCTCTGTGGACTAAGGTTGTTACATTCTTCATGTTAATTCAACTGTTGCTCTCATTATTCTCGGTATGAGATTAGGGTTTTAGATCTCAAGCAGTATAGGCGTCTTCGCTAGCAGGGTCCCTCGAGATATAAGGTTTGCTTCATCAGAATTTCTTCAAGGAACAAAAGAATTAGGTTTCTCCTATGTTATGCTTGAGCTTGGTATTAGATTTCCAGCAAAGGTGTATCATACTAGGCTTTGTCCTCAAGGTTACAAGGATCATCATTGTCTCCTTATTATGATTTCACTGATGTCATTTAGGGTTCATCTTAATTGCTTACACCACAAGTCAACCCTTCTCAAGAGGTTTAAAAGATTGAATCAGGGTCTTCCTTCTGTTGTGATGCTGGTCAAGTGGTTAAAGTGTTGCTTTGGGTTTTTTTTCGAGTTAAGGCGTTTCATAATTCTCAAGATTTGGGTTAAGATCTCATTAACCTTTCAAATAGGATTGGGTGGTCTCTTGAGTTTATAATTCAACTGAGGGTTGAGGTTCGTTAACCAAGCATGACAAAAGGATAAAACCGTGATTTCTTTGAGGACAAGGTCATGTTGCCCATTCAAGTAATTATTGTTTGCAAATTGATTTGGTTTCATTATGATGAAGTATTAATTCAAGTGTGTCCTTTCCAAGTGATTTAAAAAGCATGGTGCAAAGTATTGATCTTTAATTTCATCAAGGCGTCGAAACTCTTAAGTACATATAATTGTTCACGATGTCAAGAATGAGAGTGCAAACATGCGAGTGATTACTTGAAATTCAGGGTACGAGTTCAAGTTTATTCACAAAGATTGTTGAGTACAAGCTACCAAAAAGCAAGAGAATTCCTCATTCTAAAAGAAGGAATTCCTCATGATTTTGCAAGCAAAGTTCTTTTATTCAAGAGGCAATTTCAACTTCATTCAATTTTCAAGACATTATTCAAAGTTTGATTCAAGTCTCATTCAATTATGCTTGAATTGTGCAAGATTCCTTCAAGGTTCTTTTCAAAAGTGGTTAATTGTATTGATTCAAGATCCAAAATTTCCAATTCATTTTGCAAGTCAACATTCAATTAAGAGTTTCTAATATCCATGTCAAGTTCAAAACTATAAGTGTCATTCAAGTTTGTAAGACAAAATGAAAATTTTCAAATTCCAACAATTCAAAGGTTTTCATTCATGATTCATACGGTTGAAGGAGAATGATTCTCGAGTCAATTTTTTTCTCCATTAATGTTGATTACAAAAATATCATATGTTATACTACAAGATTACACGAGTTTTCTTAAAAGCCTAAATTTCAAGTTTCAAGTCTAAATCTCCAAGCAAATCTTTCTTGCCTCATAATGCATCAAGCCCCACGGTGCTATAGGTTCTAAACAGGTTCATAAGTCCTTTTTCTTCCTCAGTCAGCTCATCTGGATACAAAAGAAGCAACTTGCTGTTGCCCAGATTCATATTGCCCTGCATATATGCGTAAAACCATATCAGTTTCGCTACAAAAAAATAGAAAGTATTTCAAAGTGGTTTAGGTTGCCAAAACTAAAAAAAAAATTCAAAGGAGATGTGGTCACCAAACAGAACTTCTAACAACATAACAGTTCTTAATGTTAGCAGAAGTTTCAGAGCCAATTTTTTCTAACCGATTTCTAGTTGAATCTAGTTCATTGAAACTGATTCTCCAGTCCACAGTTATCTTCAGCCCTTCCATCATCTTCAAACCAAAAACCATTAGAATTTTGTACAATTTTGTTTACAGAAGTCAGAACATGAATCTTAGCCCAAACTAACTAACAAGTCAGCAAAGAAATCTCAGCATGCATAACTAATGGCCAGTAGCATAATAGAAAAAGAAAGAAGAGGCAAACTCATAACAGAAATCACCTCTCATATTAGGATTGGATCTCCACCGTTTAGTGGTGTAACAAACTTTTGATACAAAGAATCTTGTGCATTGATCTGTAACAAACTCGATGAGGATCCATTGGCTAAGAGTTTTTTTTCACTTTAACCTATGTAATATAATTGTAACAGAATCAACAAAGGGGGAATCATAACAGAACTAAAGAAAGAAGATTGATACCAGAATGGAAAGGAAAACAACATAACGAATTTCTAACAGAATGGCCAACTTCCAAACAAATTCTCTCACAGATCTAGAGGACCACATAACAGAATTCTAACAACCTAGTACAGACTCCTAACCATATCCCAACGAACTTTCTAATAAAAAGCCTAACAGAAATCAGAACAAAGAAGAGTAGATTTTTCTAACAGAATGGCAAACAATTTGAAAAAAGGAGAACATAATTGAAAGGGGATTGATAACAAAAACAAACAAAAAAAGAATAGTGAGGACTCATCTTTCAACTCTCTCGGGAATCTCTGATCTGGAACTTTGACTCTCTCTTCCATCTTCAGGCCCTCTCCCTCTGATCCATCTTCCTCTTCAACTTTCCATTCCTTTTTCTTCATCTGGAATCTTCAATCATCATCATTGTTTTGTTTTTCTCTGCGCATAACTTCACAACACACAACATCTTCAAACTTCTCAACCAACCTTCAAGAACTGATTTCTTCTTCCCTTCAAATTCCTCTGAAATCTTTGCAACTTCACTCTCGATTCATCATAATATCCATCTCATACCTCTCTATGAACCTTGGTCATCTTCAGATTGCTTCACGCTTCATCAGCATCAGCAAACCACCGTCAACTCCTTTTCACTTTGCATCAACAACAACTACTATTTGATTCAACACCAAAGAATTCTTCAATCTTTTCGATCTCCTTCAATTATCAATTCGCGCAAGAAGAAAAATCACAACAGGAAGGAGGAGAAGACTGGAATTGAGCGTTTCGCGATATTCATACTTGGCTAAAGCCTCTACTCTGGTTTCCTGATCATTGTTGTAAAGATTCAAAGCTCATCGGAGCTATTCCGGCCGGTAATACACTTTCCCTTTTTCCTCTACGCTTTGTCAGGAATCTAGTTAGGAGTATTGTAGTCATTGTTTTTAAATACGAGTTGTTGGCGTAATTAGAGTGATGGCATCGTGTGCGAAGCAAATTAGGGGATCGGATCGGAGATGGTGAGGACCATAATTGGATCGGAATCCGAGAATCAAGACTAAATCCATGAGTGATAAGACGCGGAGAAGATGATGATGAAGCGACAAAGCAGAGGAGGTCGTGTTAGGCATTTTTATTGGACATTGCCGGAGAAGAATGAATTGCAGCACCGATCAATGAAAGAGAGGAAGAAGAAAGGACTTAGATCGTCACCCCAAACCTAATTTCACCCCCATTAAGTGATTTTTTTGTGAAGCACAAAGAAATTGAAATGAAAATTGGCTATGGACTAGGCTTAGAAACTTTTCGCTCATGCCACCCCCCATTAAGCCCATGATGTCACTGTCTTTTTGGAGTTTGAAGCCTAATGTACAAAAACAGTTTATTGGATTTTAATGGTTGGGACTTTGCGTCAATTTATGTTTGCTTTACTAAACCCTCAGCTGCACTTCGGCACCCTCCTTACTCTTTCCATTTTTTTCTTTCTTTTAGGTTTTAGAGTTTATCTTTTTAATTTAGTTTTTCTTTTTTATGATAAGGATGGTGATAGGATATATGATAAAGACAATAAAAATATGGGAAATTTAGATTTTTTTTATGATAATAAACTACAAAGTCAACAAAAAATTGTAGGCTTTTTATTTTTTTCCGGAAATTAATTCCTAATTTTTTACTTGAAACTTGTTATTCATCTTTGCTTGTTGAGTTGAGTCTTATGCAGGTTCATTATTTGATATGCGGATGTGTTTTGGATTCCTATTGTGATTTATTTTCACATCGATGAAGTTTCGACACCTATTCCGAATATTCGATCTCTGACTGTTTGTTCGTTAATGCCAGCTCGCGTGAAGTATCTCGGGTTTCTTTACTTTGGTAGCGCTTTTTGCAGACATTATCGTTCAGTTGGTATTATTCTGCTTCCAAGTTATATTTCCACATTTTATTTCTTTCTAGATATCATGAGAAATAGGAAATAAAGAGCGTGCGCTCGAAGTCGTTGTTTAAAGACCTGTAGCAGGCATTCCGCACTTCATTTCTTATATGTGTTGTGCTTGTGTTTGTCTCCTTTCTTGTTGATCGATGAGTCACTCAACTTAGAAATTGAGATCACGACTTCACTCTCAGTGCATGCTCCCTATAGGACTTTATCGCTTTCCTTTATATCTTGTTGATCGATGAGTCACTCAATTTAGAAATTGAGATCACGACTTCGCTCTCATTGTATGTTACCTATAGGATAGTTTGTTAGACTTTCTTTGGCATGCTAATTTAGATAGGATCTCCCATTGTATGATAACATTAGATTAGAGATAGATTAGTCTCCCTTAGATGTTTTCTTTCTATTTTACATAATTGCATTTAAAACTAAAATTTCTTTTTTTCTTGGCAAATGTACAAAAAATGCTAAGCATATGAAAATTCTTTTCATGATAAAAAAAATACCAACCAATCTATTTCTTTTCACCATTCGACTTTTCTCTTCTAAGAGCATGTTAGCTCCTTTCCACTACAGGTCATAAGTCTCAAAATGTCGAGCAGCGGTGGAATGATCGAATGCAACATTGTTCATTTAAAAAATACAAACAAACAAAATATATGAGCCGAACTACAGCGGTCTGATTCCTTAAAAGGGATACGTAGGCATCTGGTCATGGGGCTCAGCCGAGTGAAAATTGTAAATACTTCCTTCTTTTCCCCGTGTTTTCTTTGCATGCATTCCCTCTTAGTTTATAATGTTTAAGCATTAGATTAAACACACCCTTTGATTGGAATAACGAGAGTGGATCCTGTAGAGTACTATGAACATGTGGGGTGCTAATACCTTCCCCTCGCATAATCGACTCCCTTACCCAATCTCTCGATCGCAAGACCTTGATTCCCCCCTTTAGGTTTTTCTTCGATGATTTTCCTTTCCCTTTTATATGGGACAAATAAATACTTGGTGGCGACTTCATTGATTTTACTGCTACAGAAAAATGGCGACTTCACTGGGGATTAATAATGTCGACCTATTGCTGGTCCATCTCGTGAGTCACTCCTAGCTCTTGTTTTTCTTTTCTTAGGGTGTTTATCATTATGCTTTGTGGATTGTTCACTTGTATATGTTTGAGCATATGTTTGCATTGCATCTTTTTGTTATTTGTTATATTGTTGTTGTGCTGGTTTCTCTGTTTCTTTGTTGGGTGGGTGTTACTATGAGGTAAGAGGCCCAATACCCAGGCCAAGTGGAAACCACAGGAACACTAGGAATAGAGTGGAACATGAATGGGTGGTTAACTTAGGTTTCACGATGCCGTCATGTCTTCCACGCTCATATGAGGTAGAAATGAGGGGCTATCATTTTCACGTAGGTGATATGGCGATAATTTTTCAGGAGTACCCTCAATTATGAGTTAACATCGACCTTACCATTACCTAGTTTTCACCCGTGAGTGGGAGGGACTTGATTATCACAGGTACAGTTGGTGACTATGTTCAGATAGTGACTATGTTCTACAAGCGATGGTGTTGTTCTATTGGTTCTCAGGTTTAACTTCTGAGTTTCTGGTCCATCGACCAAGAGGTTTATTCGGGTTCACGATTCCAAATTTTTTATCCCAATACACCCAACATAATCAGAAAAGGCACAACGGTTAATCAGCATTGTAGAAACTTTGATCTTATGTTTATTGTACTTACATCAGGGCATATTTATTTTATAAAAGAAACGCAAAAAAAATATATAACTGCCTAACCTGCATTTTCATTTCATTTCCAGGATTACTCTAAGGTCTGTCATTAGCATCAAAGATGGATAACAACATGGAGACAAGCTCAGAGCCTCTTAGAAACACAGCTGCTTATCAGTTTCCATGCTTTGGTGGTCGATTGCGAGAGGTGGGAGCTCTTGTGAAGGGACCAAATGAAAAAGTTTTCAGAGGACAATATGGAAACTTATTGCCGTTAGTGAACGATGATCTTGAGGAGTGGGCCGTGAGAACACTTCTTCAGTTCTACGATCCGCAGTTGTGCCGTTTTACGTTCCGGGACTATCAATTGGCACCAACTCTCGAAGAATATGCACACATTATAGATGTCAAGGTGACCAACGATATTCCTTTTGTTCGTGTACCAGAGACTCCGGACTATACGGCGATCGCCAGAGGTCTTTATTTGACTCATGGTGAAGTTAAAAGTAACTGGAATAACAAAAGCAGCACGAGCAGTCTCCCTCTGAATTACTTGATATGAAAGGCCAAGGGTTTTGAAAAGGATATGAATTGGACCGTATTTAATGCACTGCTGGCAGCTATGGTTTATGGTTTGGTCCTCTTTACAGTGTCCGAGAAGTTGGTGCATGTATCCGCATTATATGTCTTCATGAATGGTAACCCGATACCAACTCTACTTGCCGACACTTATTACACCATCCATTCCCGACACGGGAAGAAAGGGGAAGTCATGTGTTGCACAATCGCGCTTTATAAATGGTTGATGATGCATATGCCTACAAAAGGGCCTTTTGTTCATACTGCCGATTCGTCTTTATGGTCTCAGCGTATCATGGGACTTACCTTGTATGATATTGTTTGGAAAAGCGTGATAGGATTGAAAGAGATCATTATATGGTGTGGAGAATTCCCTAATGTCCCGCTTATGGGGACAAGAGGCTGCATTAATTA